TGGACATTAAAACCAATCCATCAAACAAACAGAACTGTCCCAAACGTGTGTCTGAGAGAGAGTAAAAACTAGGATATTTATGAATTGGAGAGCTCCAATAGTAAAATGTTGACGTGGGACAAAGGAATATAAGCTCTTTGTTCATAAAGCATGATAGTATTTGTTTATTCCAAAACGGAGTTTTGAAAGCGTGCGTTGTGTGTTTACAGTTAGAATTCTATAGGCCCCGCTGTCTCCGTGTTGCTAGGTGCTGTCCAGCTGGTCCTGCCTGACTCAATCTGCGCCTGGAACATCCTCACCATCACTGCACTGTTTAATCCCATTGTTGTAGTCGCTATGTCAATCCATTTCCTTGAGGAGCTACTTCTTCTCCTTCTTCTTCTCCTCCATCTCCTTCTCCTTCTCCTCCTTCTTTTTCGACCCTTTACTTTTCTAAGCATAATGTCCTTTTTCAGAGACTGGTCTCACCAGATAATAGGTCTAAAATATGAGAGACAAGATTTGTCACTTGCACTCCTAAGGAGCTTTCTGACTGTACTTCTTCCAAGACAGACTTGTTTGTTCTAGCAATCACTGGCACCTTCAGTGTTCTTTGCCAACACCTTTAATTCAATACACAAATTCTTCTCCATTCTTCCTACTCCCTGTCCAACTTTACCATACTTATGAGGTGGTTGAAAACACCCTGGTTTGAATCAGGTGCACCTTAGCCTGATCACTCTGCTCTTTGACACTTTAAAGAGGACGTGTGCACAGAGTTGCCCAATGCAACTTGAGATTTCGTGATGACTGCTTTCACGAGGACTGATTGTGGATATGAGCAAAATGAAATCTTTGACCACTTCGGTGGTTTCTCCTGTTACCATGATGTTGTCTATTGCTGTCTGAAAGTCCAGTTGTGATGATTTTTGTTGTATTTACATTGAATTGTAATCCGTGGTGAAGCCTGTGATCTTTGATTGTCACCAAAAAGTGCTTCGTCTTCCTTGATTTCAGCAAGGAAGATTATGTTATCTGCATATAACAGGTTGTTAATAAGCCTGCCTCCAATTCTGATGCTTCATTCTTCCTCATATAGTCTAGCTTCTCCAATTATCTCCTCAGCACACAAATTGAGTCAGTGTGGTACAAGGATATAACTCTGATACACACCTTTCCTAATTTAAACCGTGCAGTATTCCCCTTTTCAGTTTGATCAACTGCTTCTTGGCCATTTTCTAGGTCCACACAAGCACAATTTAGAGTTCTGAAATTCCCATTCTTTGGAATCTTATCCTTTGTCATTGTTAGGTGCTGTTGATTCCATTCCAGCTCATAATGACCCCGTGTACAACAGAACGAACCACTGCCTGGTCTTGTGCCGGGCTCGCAATGAGTGGTGAGCCCATTGCTTTAGCAATGGTATCAACTCATGTCATTGAGGGTCTTCCTCCTTTTTGCTGCTCCTCTAGTTGACCAAGCATGATGGCCTTCCCCAAGGATTGGTCTCTCCCGACAACATGTCCAGAGAACGAGATGAAGTCTTGCCGTCCTTGCTTCTAAAGAGCATTCTGGCTGCACTTCTCCAAGACAGATTGGCTTATTCTTTTGGCAGTTCATGGTACTTTTCAATATTCTTCACCAGCACCATAATTCAAATGCAGCGATTCTTCTTTTCTTTGGTCTCCCTTTGTCAGTTTCCAACTTTCTCATGCATATGAGGCCATTGAAAACATCATGGCTCCAGTCAGGTATACCTATGTCCTCAAAACAACCACCTTGCGTTTCAAGACGACAAAGGTCTTGGGCAGCCAATTGACCCAATGCAGTATTATTCGATGCATTATTATCCACAGTTTGTCATAATGTACACATTACATAGTGAAACACATGTATTTTTTGCTTTCTGACATCAGCCATATCCCATATGCTGAATCCAGCCTGACTTTCTGGCTACTCCTTGTATCACCAGCCACCCAATCCCCTGCCACTGAATCAATTGCTGCTCATGGTGATCCCGTAGAAGAGAGTAGAACTGCCACTTTGGATTTCCAAGACTGTGAATCTTTACAGGTCAGATAGACTCATCCTTCTTCTTTGGAGCTGCTGCTGGGTTTGAACTGATGACCAACAAATAATACACTGCCTCATCAGAACTTCCTCCCCAAATCAAACCGTCACATCCATTTGATCCATAGTGTAGGAAACAACTTGTATCCCTTTGACTCGGAGTGACCTATAGGGTTTCCAAGACTGGAAATGCCTAAGGAAGCTGATCCTTGTCTTTCTCTC